TAAACCCAAACAGCTGCCACCAGCCCACTCAGCTGGCGTGCCACGGCTTGGCTGGCTTGTCCCACCTCTGCCAGGGCCATCCCCAGCACTGGGCAGGGCTGGAGGTGACAGCAAGCGGATGAGCATCCTTTTTGGTTTTGTGCCTGGGAGGTGCCGGGACCCGCTGCTCCCTGCCTCCGAAATCCCAATTTCATGGCTTGCTTCGAGGCAGCAGAGTGTCCCCAGAGGGGATAGCTCTCAGCAAGGGCACCAGGGCAGGAGGGCTTGTGGCTGCACCGAGACCTCTCCTGGTGCACAAGCTGAGCTGCCACGTTCTGTCCCTGCTCCTGTGTCTCCATGCAGCCCTCGTGATGTGGGGAGGCAGGAGGGGAGCAGGGGGCTCCACAGGATCAGCATCGTCCTGCCCAGGAAGGGACCTGAGGGACCCTGCTGCCATCTGGCTGCAGTGGCATCTGGGGACCTTGCTGACACTTTCCCGGTGCAGAGGATGCTCTCCCTGAACCACAAACGTCTCCAGGAGGACACAACACCAGTCGCCTTGAGCCTTGGCTGCCCCCAGCACCTGCATCCCCACCCCGGCGCAAGCCAGATGGGTGGGCACATACAAACCCCCAAAACCTAAACCTCTGGGGACCACTGTGCCTCAACCAGATACCTTTGCTTCCCAAGCCAGCAGCCAGCCTGGAGGTGCCAGCTGACCTGGCCTGGACCACCATCCAACGCCACACAACCCTAGAGGCACCAGGCTGCAACCTCAGCCCCTCTGTGACACCTGAGGCAAAGCCGGCTCTCCAGGAACCCTGTGGGTTTGCCCTGGGCACCCTGTAACACAAGGAGATTAGCCCCGGAGACGGCACCTACCGGAGAAGTTCCTGGTGGCCAGCATGGTGGTGAGGATGGCTCCCTGAAAGACACAGAAGGCAGAAGGAAATGGTGTGCTGGGCCCCGGCCCCCCGCGCCCCCACCATTCCCTCCAACCCCGGGGGAGGAAAGCCCTGCTTGTCACCTGTCCCCTGGCCACCTCGCTGGAAGGAAACTGGCCCACGGGCTGATATGCTCCTCCTGCCATCAAAAGCAGCCCTCGGTACCCGACTCCGTACCCCAGCGCCAGGGCGTTGGGTTGCATTCTCCGAAACTGCCTTCCCTCCAAGATTAAAGGGATATTAAATATCCCCGGGGCGCATTTCGGTCTCGCTCTACCCTGCCCTAGATGTAGCACGACTCCGCTGACCGGGGCCGGCAGCTGGCGGCAAGGGGAGCCACCGGGTGTAGAACCGGATTTAATTGCAATTAAAGCCGTGCCGAGCTAAGAGCAGCAGGGCAGGGATTTTTCATGGGAGCTATGCAAAGATCAGCACCGCAAAATAACATTCGTAAAAATGCTTCACCCTTTTCCAGCTGACTCTACTAACTAGTTGCTCAGCGTATAATGAGATTACTTTGGACTAATTGCTTACAGTAATGGATTACTATTTTGAAGTGTATGCCTGAACTAATTTGATTACTTGTCTAGCTGAAAAGTAATAACAGTTTATAGCCAGTTTCTTCTCTTGATAATCTTGTTAGTAGCCTGCAGCTGTACTGCTCTGTGCCACATCGCGTTCAGGCCTGGAGCGCTGATGGCTCTGACTGCGGCACAGATCAGCGTCGGCCCATTCTGTGTCTCCGGCTCTGGAGGACGCATTGCGATTTCCAGAGCCCATTCCCAGCACCGTGTTGCCGGCTGGGGCTGAGCAGCACCCGGGAGATGGGTGCTTCAGGGAGGTGCTCCAGCTCCACGGTGAAGCCTGGGGAGATGGCGATTTCAGAGAGGGTCCAGGCTGCAGCACGTGGGAGCATCCGAGAAGGGAAAGCCTGTGGGGCTGCTAGTGTGGGTGAGCTAGAGCTTTTTGCCTGTCTACGGATGACTTTGCTGCAAAGTAGTTTGGTCATCAGTCAAAGGGGTCTCACTGTGCCTCTCAGAGCCATGTCCTGCCTCAAAGAGGAGCTTTCTTGACACTACCTGAGGTGGGAAAGTCCTTACCCCAGTGTCCAGGACAGCGGTGTGACTCAGTGCTTTTCTTCACCATGGCTGTCCTCTAAGACCTTGGGAACCCCAGCCAGATGCAGCCACCACCCCACTCGGTCTCTTTTCCCTTCTTCACAAAGGGGTTCCCCAAATATCCATCACCCCCACACCACTGACCCAGAGACACCACCCTGTCTTTTCCCACTCGGGCAACAAACCCACCGGCGACCTGATCATGCATTTTGCAGCCAGCTTGGAGACTATGAGAGTTACCTTCAGCTTCCTCCGGGCATTGAACTTCTTCAGACAATCCACCGTCTCCTGCCTGTGCATGCACGACGCCACGGTGGCACGGTGCTGGGAGGAGAGAGACCCAGCTCAGAGCAGGCGTCGAGGGGGTCCCCCGGCCCTGCTCTCACACGCACGCACACGTGTGCGGTCTCCAGCGGCCGCGGCATGGGCCGGAGCTGCCAGCAGCAGCAGATAAAACTTTAATAGGCAGTGGGGGAGATCACAGCTCTGGAGTGAGCGGGATCTGCTTTGGTGGTGGGAGGGGGGGTTGCAGGGAGAGCTGGCTGCCCCCTGGGATAACCCCTCAACTGACCGGCCACATTTAGCAGTGTGCTCAGGGTTTACAGGTGGTGTGGGGTCCCAGGGTTAAGCCCGTGGACTCCTCCTGCCTTTAGGAGCTGATTCAGAGTGGGAACCAGCAGCCGGAGCAGCGGGGTGCAGCCAGGGATGGGGGGATGCTGCTGCCGGGGTGTATGGATGGATAAACACAAGCCTGCTCCCACCCTCCCCAAAGAAAGGCTCCCCCAGCACAGCATGACACCAAGAAACCAGCCCGTCCCCACCAGGGCTGGGAACGTGCATGTCCCTCCCATCACCAGCTCCCCTGGGACACGCTGTTTGCATTCACGCTCCAGGCTTTTCTCTGCTGTAAAGCCTCAGGGAAAAAGCTGCTCTGAGAGCACTGGGAGGAACCATGCCAGGAAACCATCTTCCCAGGATGGAGAAAAGAGCCAGACAGCATGTTTGATAACATGTGCTCCCCAGTGAGATGTTCCCCCCACCGTGAACTCCCACATCTCTAGACCTTCGACCCCAACCGGTGAATGCCACCAAACTCACCGATATCCAGGGGTGCTTCAGAGCCTCCGCCGCCGTGATGCGCTTGGACGGGTTTATGGTCAACATCTTGTTGATGAGATCTTTTGCTTCGGGGGTAACCGTGTCCCACTCAGGGGAGGGGAACTGCCAAAGCACAGGGACCAGGGTGAGAGATGGCAGGGAGCAATGGAAGGAGCAGAAGACTCTTTGCGTGAGGGCTGGTTCTCCTGCAACCCTTTGCTCCTGCCCATGGGACAGGCTGGAGAGACAGTAGCAACTGGAAAGAGCTGCCAGCTGGAAAACTGGAGAGCAAGGGTGGAGGAAGCAAGGTGGAAGGCCCAGGACAAGAGCAAAGTGGACCTGAAATGTGCCAGTGTGTGCACCTGGGCACGGCAGCTTGGCCAGCCCTCTGTGACCAGAGCAGAGGAAAGAAGTTGCTCCCATCTATCTGAATTGGTCCTGGTTGCTCTTCTGGAGCATCAAACTGCAACATGGGGACAGCGGGAGAGAGGGGAGACAATGAAAGCAGGGAGGAAGACAAACCCACTCACATCATAAGCCCCAGCCTTGATCTGCTGGTAGAGTCGGTGCTGGTCTTCATCCCAAAAGGGCGGGTACCCGACCAGCAGGATGTAGAGGATAACGCCTGCCCGGGAAACGAGACATGGGATCAGCAGGAGAGAGTATGAACAGCCCCAGTGCAGGGACTGGCCCAACTCAAGCAGAGAAATTGAGAAATTAGGGAAACGGGAGGATTTGCTCCCTGATTAGAAAGCAAAAGGCTCGTTGGTGGGTCCAGCTCCATGCTGACGTGCTCAGTGGCCGGGGAGACACGTGGCTCTGGCAGCCACCATGCACAGCCTCAAGCCAGATGCCCCACCAGGGCTGGGCGATGCCTCCTCCCCACTGCGGGTGGAAGAAGGGTCCTCTCCAGCTGTAGCTACAAGAAAGCATTGCCTGACTCCAAGGGCACCAGAGGGCAAAAGAGCCGGCATCTCCCCTGCCTGGGGGCTTTGGGTGCATAGCAAGGAGGCTGATCCTTCAGAGAAGGGTGCCACAGGACTGGGAAAGAAGGTGATGCTCTGGGGACAGCCCAGGGTAATGTGCCACCTCTTAGGTAAATCCTCCACCCTGACCTCCCCGAGATGTGTCTAGTAACTGTGACTTGGGACATGCTGGATCAACAGCCCGCCTCATCCTGTGCAGCCCAATCCAGCCCGCTACAGACATTTCAGCCCCGGTCTGACTTACCGCAAGCCCACAGGTCCACAGCTTTGCCGTAGGGGTCCTTCCGGAGCACCTCAGGGGAGAGGTATCCTGGGGTGCCAGCGAAACCTGGGACAAACAGCCCATCACGCACCGCCGGCAGGCAGCATCCCTGCAGGCATCCCTGCACAGCTTGCCTGGTGCCCAGCCAGATGTCACGAGAGCTGAGAGCCCCGGCACGCACCGAGCCAGCAGGATGGGCACCATCCCTCCAGAAACCTCTGCATCTCCCAAGAGCAGAGCAAACACCAGCCAAACCCCAGGATGGTGCAGAAGGTTGGGGTGCTCTGGCGTGCACCTCCAGCACTTGGACGAGGCTTTCCTTCCCCAGGTCTGCCCCTGCCACCAGCTTGTCCAGCTCACCAGGACATCTCGGTGACTCACCGAGTCCCTGTGGAGCTGTTTGCCTGTGCTCTGGATCAATACCAGCCTGTTTCCAGGGGCACAGCTGGAGCCATCGAACCCCTCCTCACCCACCATGCCTCCCAGGCTGGTGCTGACGGGGCAATCCCATCCCCTGGAGTCCAGGTCCTGGGGATGCGTATCCCTCCTGGAGCCCCCCCTGACCAAAGACACCAACAAGGGCTGGAGGATGTCCCACCGCCGGCCAGTCCTACTCACCAAACCATGCTTGCTGGTCCCCCTCCACCTCGATCGCAAGGCCGAAGTCGGCCAGCTTGACGGCAGCACCCTTCAGCTTGGATGCCAGCAGCAGGTTCTCAGGCTGCAGGAGGAGACAGGGGTTGGAGAGGAGTGAACCTCCCTCAGGGACTCTGCTGTCACAGGGGGCTTCCCAGCACAGCACGGAGGAAGGTCAGGGCTCTGGATGTGCCACACGACCAGTTTGTCCTGCCATGTGTTGCAATGTCCATGGATCTCTAGAGGACCACGGACTACAAGGACCTCCCTAACCCCTCTCCCTCATGCTGTTTCACCCTTTTGCTCTGTGCCTTTCCAGAAGCCCTACGTGATGTTCCTCCCTGCTGTGTTTCAGCTGCCCTGAAGGACTCTGGGCATTGCTCCACAGGGTTTTGTATCGCGGTTGGGGTCCCCGCAGTCCTCCCACAGGCCTTTCCCCTGCAGCTCCTACCTTCAGATCCCGGTGGACCACCCCCATCTGGTGGCAGTGCAGGACGGCCTCCAGGATCTGCTGGATGCAGTGGCTGTGGGAGAGAGGAGAAAGCTCACAGAAGTGTTCAGTGAGGCAGAGTTTATTCAGACATTTCTACTTGGCTGCATTTCATCCCTCCTGCCCCTCTCCCCATCGTGCTTCGCACCAGCAGCCCTGCAGCACAGCTCAGCGTCGCCCTCCACCGAAAGCCGCACGCCCATGGAGAGCAGCTGTAACCCAGTAAGACCCCACCAGAGCTGCTGGACACCCAAGCATGACAAGCAGGAGCACCGAACCCACGGGGTCCCCAGGGAAGGAACACCGGGGAGCTGGGGACCAGTGGTGGAGTCGCAATGCCAGCCCAGATTTGGTCTCCAAACCCAGGCTCCGATATGCTCCTCAGACGTAGAGCTAACCTTCGCTTCGGCCCCGTTTCCCTGACCTCCTCTAACGCGGGTGGCTCTCGCTGCATCTGTTCGCTTTATATCTAGTTCATTAAACCCCAGCTCTGCTGCATGCGTGAGAAAGGAAGGGAAAAAGACTGAGGCGATGATCACTTCTGCTCCAAAACAGCTGTGTGCAAGGCAGAAGGTCTTTATTTACATGTGTTTTATTTTATTTGTATGACACTAATAAGTGGATGGGTTGTAAGTGGCTTCAGTACAGGCAGCCCATTAAATGAGATTGCTTTCTGCCTAGAAATAAGGGATATTTCCATGCAGACAGAGGTAGCGTAGAGCTTACCAACCCTTGGACTTCTCTATGGACTATGCTTATCCTGGGGGCAACGCCAAGAGGCACTGTGATATCTGGAGAGGGCCAAATCATGTCCCCTTAATAAAATGAGGCTAATGCTGTCCCCTGGCCGAGGTGCGAGGACCAAAGGGGTAGGTGAAATGGTACCCAGCCCCCTGCCTCTGCAGCAGGGTACCTGGAAAGTGCCAGCGGGAGCGTGGGAAGGAGCGGAGCTCCAGCGCATCCTCCCACCCAGCCTGCCTTCACTGCTCCTCCTTAGTGCTTTCAAGTGGTAAATGCCAGAGAAACGCGTGCAAACGACTGTAATGCAGCTGCAAGGGGAAAGGGTGAGGACTGCAGGGTGTCTGTGCCATCACACTCCTGGCTGGGACACCAGCCTGATGCTGGGCTTCTTCCCTGCCAGCGTGGGGACCCCCCGCTGCCCCCCTTCCAGGGATCCCCGCTGTCCCCGGCCCAGGGAACCCCGATGCCATGCTCCTTTACAGGGAGGTGAGATGCAGGCTATGCCATCAGCCCCGGGAAGGAGGATGCTGTGAGCGATGGCTGGCAGCTGCCTGGTTCGAGGGGGGAGACCAGCCCTGCGGTAACACACGCACACTTCTTGGCACAGGAGCCGAGTGAGTTAAAAAGAGCTTGGTTTGGGTTTGGTGGTGGGTTTTGCTGGTTTTTTCGTTTTTTTTTTTTGTTTTTTGCACTACACATCTGGTTTATGAGTATGCGCTGCGGAGCGGCTGTAAAACACCTCCCAGCATGGAAGGAGCTTATGCCGCAGAAAGCCAGACTCACAGGACCCTGGGAGGGAGCAGCTCGTGGGAGAAGGGACAGACTGCTGTCCCCTCCACGGCCCGGCATGTGTCCCTGCTCACCTGGCATCGGCTTCGCTGTAGTACTCCCTGGCCACGATGTCCTCAAACAAAAAAAAAGACGCTCCCGCCCCCTGGCCCCCCCCCCCCCCCCGCCAAAAAAATGCCCCTGCACCGTGTATGGAGGGAGCGTTGGGGGTGCAGGGCAGGGACTTGCCCTCTGCTCGGCTTGGGGGACCCCTCTTGGTTCAAACCCTGCCCGGGAAAGGCATGGGTGAGGTGGAGGATGGAGGAGGGAAGCTTTCGGGGGAGGCTGCGGGGCCGCAGGGTGGAAGCACGCAGCCAGCGGTGGATTAAGAGATGCATTTAACCATTACTCACAGGTCAAATATCAGGTAGTGGTGGCCCTCTTCGGAGATGCTGTCGTGGAGCCTCACTGCAGTAGAGACAGAAGGGTTACGGGGTACGTCTGGCTCCCACCCTGCTCCCCGGGAACGCCTTTGCTCCCCTTTGGGCACAAGTGGGAACTGGGGAAGGGCAGAGTGGGGTGATTCCTCCTCCTCCTCTTGCTGCTGTGTGTGTGTGGGGGCGGGGGGGGATGTCCCCCTGCTCTATGGGGGACCCCAGCCATGGCCCCAGCCTCGGGCAGCAGTGCAAGGCTCAAAGGTCACATCCAAATCAGGGACTGCCCCAGGGCTGGTGCCTGGCCGAGGTCCCGGGCAGCTGCTGGGCTATCTTGGGCACTGGGCAGGCTGTGGGCACGGGTGCCCCCAGAGAGCCCTCTGCCCCATCAGGAGAGGTGCCCGGGCACAGGGGGAGCTCAGCCAAGGCGCTGGGCTGCCAGCCCTGGCACCGACGGGGCTTCTTTTCTACTCGTGACCTTCCTTTTCTCCTTGGGGATGTCTCAAGTCGGGGATATCCAGGAATCACGGCGGGATGAGTTTCCTTCGGAGGAAGCGCTCTCCCCGTCTCCTCCCGCAGGGCTGGCGTCGCGTCTCGCCCCGCTCATCACTCCGAGGGGCACCCTCGGGCACGTCTTGGTCTTGCCAAGCGCAGTCGGGTGCAAACCTGCCACCCTTGCAGCTGGGTTCTGGTTATTCAGGCTTAGATCCCCACTCACAGCTTAGCGGGCAGAAACACAGCAAGGGGAAAGCCGCAGAAACAAGTAGGTTGTATAAACAGAGACTGGTTGAAAGTCCTCTGCCCCCCACCTCACATTTTGTTCGGGTTTCCTTGAGGCTGTAAATATTTAACCCTTCCTCTCTGCTCACCCGGTTTCAGCCTGATACAACTTCCAACATCTTTGAGATCTTTAGAAACCAGGGAGGAAAAGTTCAGAACGATTTTGTGGGAATTTTTGCTCCCAGCCCATTTCACCGCAGCAGAATCAGCTGAGCCCTGGATGGAAACATCCTCCAGACTCCAGTCTGAGCCGGGGGAGATAACAAGCCCCAATGCCGAGTACAGATGCTACGCTGCATCGCTCTTATCTCTCAGGCCAGCAAACACTGCTTTTCTGCTCCTATCCCTCCCTCCAAGCTCAGCGAGCAGATCCAGTAGCCGCTAAGAGCTTCACCCTGGCCAGGGCAAGGGCAGAGGAGGTCTGCTGGGCCGGATGGCATCTTTCCTCTTGTACTCTCTTGTGGTCTTGACTATTGACACAACTTGCTCTTCTTATTCCCTGGTTATCCTTCCCCACTGCCGGCCTCCACAGACATCCCCTGAGCTCCAACACCCGAGTCTGCTCCCTGTTCTTCTCTGACACATAATCCCAGCTTTTCTGCCTTCCTCTGTTGGAAGAAACATGTTTCCTCCTGTTTCATCTCACCCGCGAGGGACTTGGGGTATTGTGCCTGGGATCCCGCAGAAGCTAAAGTGTTCAAAGGGGAATTAGGTGAGTTCGGCACGGATAGGGCCAGCGTAACTATAAGCAGATGGTCTGGATATGTCCCCTGCTTGGGGAAGTCCCAATGCCTGTGGCTGCCAGGAGCCAAGAACGTATAAGAAGGAGCAGCCACTCTAAATATAGCCTGATCCTACAAGTATCTGTTACTGATCGGAGTCAGAACGAGCTGCACTGGCCAAACAGCCCCAGCTCATGCCAAGAGCCAAGGCAGGAGCAGGACACAGCTTCAGAACTGAGGGTCAGAAGACGATGGGTGCCTGGAGTTAAAACTCCAGGGCTAGATGTAGCCAAAGTTGCCCAATAAAGCAAGATTCCCCTGCCAAGGACATGCAGCTTTGGGAACCGGCAGCTGTCCCTAACACATTGCCCAGTGCCATGGATGTGCTGTGGGGTCCTGGACCTGCCCTCGGTCGCCTGTGCGTGGCTTTCTAGGCAAGGTTCTCCTGCAGGCACAGTGCAAAGCACAAGTTGGTTCCTCCAGGATCACAGCTGCAGCACAGCACTCCCACGGGAGACAGAGGGACCCCCACCTCGCTGTAGGGAACGAGCCAGCAAAGCCCCTCAGCAGCTGGGATGCTTCTTCCCGGAGGGATGGAGAAGGGTTTTTCCACCTCGCCTTCCCCATGCCCACAGCAGCAGTGGCTCCTCTTCCTCTCGTTAGGGTCGGTCTGCAGAGCACAGCTCCTTCCAGCTCCTGGATGGGTAATTAGTCGGGTTGTGCAAGGGAAGCTGTGAGCCCAAGTTTCCTGGCAGCAGGAGCAGTGTGGGGGGGGGGTGAGCGTGTGGGGGGGGTGGAGAAGAGCCTCCTGGGTATAAATAGCAGGGAGATTGGGCTCGTTAGCATCTCCCATGCCGTTAACCCCCTCCAGCCCTACCCAGCAGGGTTGCTTGAAGCCTGGCATCTTTACAGGTCGTGGCCATGCAGCAAAGTCCAGGGCAGGGAAGGGGGAGAAGGCAGAGGAGGACTGAACCGCAGGACAAGGTGTTTCTGCCCCTGGAGACCCCACCAGCCCCACGGGTGGGTGATGGAGAGAGAAGTGAGGAAGACAGCGGTAGTGAAAAGCTGGGGATGGGCTGGGAGCCCGGGGAGCTCTGGCTGCATAGCCCAGCTGCCATCCTGCAAGTCCTCGTGGGGCGGGTTCCTCTGTTTTTAGGATTTCTTGCTATTCACACACTTTACAGCTCGTTTCCTTCAGGTCTCAGCAATCCTTAGGTATATTTTGGTGCAGAAGAAAGGCCCAGGCTGCTGCTCTGACCCAGGGAGACTGGACTCCCCACTGGGATCCCAGCAGGGTAGCTCCTGGGCTGGGCATCGATCCTGCCGGAGCAGAGGCAGGGAGAAGGATGATGGCCGGATCCAGTGGGGTCCGGCACCCCGGCAATGCAGGGGAGACCCGCCACGCCGCTGTGCGCCTGAGACAGATGGAAGCTGACAGGCTTTTTCCGAACTGAAATATTTATGGGGCGGGAGCCACGTGGCTGGTCCCAGTGGCCCCAGGTCTGGCTCCTCAGATCTGCTGCAGCGGTTCCCGGGGAAGGACGCATCCAGGCCACCGGGAGCAGTGAGGGGGACAGGGAAGAGCTCAGCCAAAGGGGAAACTTCCCAGCTTCTGTCTGCAGGATTCGAGGGCTGCAGAGCTCCTGTCCTACCCCTGAATGCTCTCCCAAAAGCTGCAGGATCCCACCAGGATCAGCACATCCCGGGGTGCAGCAGAAGGGAGAGGGTGTTCACCCTCAGTCATGCCCCAGGGCACTGTGGTCCCGCTGCCCGACCATCCCCGGGGACCGACAGCCTGCATCAGCATCACTCTCAAGGCTGGAGTTTGGGATTTTTTTTACTGCAGTTTTTTCCCCTCCCCTCTCTCTCTCTCTCTCCCTCTCCTTCTGGCCTATTTTTGTCTTTTGCAGGGGCTCAGGAGTTTTCCTGAAACAGCTTTTCCGAAGGAGGCTACTCTCAGATGGACGGTCGGTGGGAAAGTCTTCGCTTCCCCCCGCCATCGCTCCTCCTACACGCCCCGCGCTGCTGCTGCTGCTCGGAGCTGCAGCCGCTTTTTGGAGCATGCAGAGGAATACAGCACCCGAGGGGGGGGGTGGGGGGGGGAGAGGAGTAAAAATAGTCCCTTGCAGCCTACTGGGGCCCCGCTTCTCCCTGAGGGATCTACGGCCAAGTGGGTTAGATAGGACCTACTTCAATCCCCCCGCGCTCGATGGAGGCCTTTCTTCCCGTGACCTTGTTGGAAGATGCTGCCTCCCCGCGAGGAAGAGGAGGGACGGCTCTGCGGACCAACAGGGCAGGATGCTCCGGAGCCCCTTCTCCATCTCCGGGATGGTGGACGGAGCGCGAGGGAAGGACAAACAGCCCGTGCTGCCGTGGGCAGGGCTGAATTATTAATGGGGACCCCCCTTCCCGGCCCCGGCGGGGGCACGGGAGAGCAGCGGAGTTGGGCACGGAGCACAGGCATGTCAGCTCAGCTCCTGGCCGGGCACGCAGCGTGGGGCGGTACTCACTTACCGATGTTGGGGTGCTTCAGGAGGCGACAGATCCGAGCTTCTCGTTCCAGCTTCTGGTGATCTGCAAGAGGCAACAGCCCTAAATTAGGGTCCGGGGAAGGGTGTAAACCACTCTCTGCTCCTGCTGTGCTCTCTCGGCGGAGCTGCCAGCACAGGTAACCCAAGGGGGGGACGGGGCGGAGCAGCTTCCAAAGAGCAAATCCATCCTTTTTTTTTTTTTTCCTAAAGAATAACAGGTTTGGGGACACGTTCGGCATCAGGGCCTGATGGATTATATCCCAGCAAGGATGCAGCCCCCAGCCAAGCTCCCAGGCACTGAGGCCATGGGCAGTTCTGGGCTCCCGAATACCCCAGAGCTGCCTGGGTTATCACTGCCAGCAGCGCCTGTTCCATTTTCTCTTATTCAGCCCAAGTACAGGGAATCAGCACGGACACTTCTGGCCCCGCATGGTACAATTTGAACAATTGAAGAACAGAACCGACCAGTGAGAGATGTCAAGCCGAAAAGGGGCTACCCGCTCCGCTCCCCTTCTCCATCCCCAGCCGTTTCTCATCGGGTCTCCGCTCTCCTGCATCGCAAAACCCTGGCTCTGAAAATTTGTCTCCAAACAGGCAGCACAGGTCCCTCTCCCCAGCTTTCGCCAGGCTCGGGGATGTGAGACAACGGAGCTCTGGGCAAAGCAAGTTGAGCTGAGCCAAAAACGCCTCCAGCCTGGGGCAGCCCAGAGTGAATTTTCAAATCATTTTGTTTCTTTTTTCCTGCTCCTGCACTTTTCTGCCTCCTTATACCTGACCCAGCCACCCTGCATGGAGGTGCCTTGTCTGGAGGCATTTCGTGCTAGCAGGAACCCAGCAACCTGGAGAAGGGAGGATATAATTAGGGTTGCTCGTCTCTCAGCGCTAGCACTGTTACCTTGCAGGTTCACACCCCGGAGTCTCGCTCTGCATCAAACCAAACCTGGGTGTCTCCGACCGCTGAGACGTGAATGCGGCGCAGCCCCTTCCCTGCGGGGGCTGGAGCCTTCCCCAGGGTTCAATATCCCCCGTCTGGTGGCCATGGGGCTTGGCACGGGCTTGGGAGAGTTTTGTAGCCTGTTCTGGGATCCAGGAGTCGCAGGCTGGGACAGCCTTGGTGGCCTCGTTCAGCTCCCTACGGCATTCCCCCCTGAGTGGGGATAATCTTCCTTGGGTGGGACTGGGCTACAGGGAGAGCTCAGAGTTTAGGCTGTTGCTTTTCGCAACCAAAATCCATCGTGGGGTGGAGGACGGGGACAGGATTGAGGGACAATGTGACCGGTGTGGCAAAGACTTCTCCAGGGAATGGGGGGAGCTGCTTTCTGCCCCCTTTTCTGCTCCTGCCTGACAGTGATCTTAGACGAGCCACTGGTCATCACTGTCTGCCTCAGTTTCCCCATCTGCAAACTGGAGGATGTGGCCAAATGGCCCATGGGAAAGCCCAGTATTGCTGGTGTCCAAAGGAGTAAAGCTCCTTCGCTTGCCTAGAAGAGGCCAGAGATCACAGGAAAGGGAGGTGAACGTGACCCTGAGTATGGAGCGGGTCCCGGCACCGCTCCGTGTGCCGCCTCACCGCTGCCAGCAGAGCCTTTGGCTGCACAGGGGCAAGAGTGGCCACTGGCAAGGGGCAGGAGGCAGGAGGTTGCCCCATCCCTTCCCTGCCACGAGCCTCTTGGCTCGGGTCTGGCTCCCCGGCGGCGCCATGGGAGGAGGAGGACCGCGGCGCCCC